ACCGAGCGCAATTAATGAGCTCATTCTCAACCTATATGGACACTGGTCCCCAAGCCTTTAGTTCGCTGTGGGTTCGAGGACGACTCTCTGCCTTAAAGTCCATTACTGTCGGAACAATGGGTAGCCGCCTATCTCTCTCGCCCACCTCTCTCTCCTCCCTCATCCCTTGTCCCTTGGAGGGAGTCCGAGTGGACCGTGGTTCAGAAAAGGATCCCTCTGGTCCAAGGGCTGCAACCCGGCCCTCCGTGGGTTTTGTTTTTTTCCGAACGAAACCGAGAGTCTCTGAATTCGAGTTCGGGAACGCCTTCCCAGCAAACGCGGAACCGGGGCCAGAGGTCCAAGTAGCCTTCTCTCACTTCTCGGCACTTACTCCTTCCGACAGTCGGGGAAGCAGAGGACCAACCGCTGTGGGAAACAGCCACCCCTGACCATTGCTTGCCCGGGGAAGGTTCTGCCCACGTTCCCGACGGACTTTTACCCTTACATATTGCTAGCAGAGTTTGAGGAGCGAAAATGCTGCCGCGAGGGGGGGGCGAAGGGAACCCTTAGGAAAGAAAAAGAAACTCCGTAGTCGACGGGGCCGGGCGGAATACCGGCGTGCGCGCGTTTCTCCCCATTCACTGGGAAGCGGACCGTTCGTCCGCCAGGTTTAACAACCTTGTCTGATTGGGCGCCTTTCTCATTGGCTGCACGGGCAGTGTCAGCGCTCTCCTTCCTCTCCCTCCCCCCCCCCCCCCCCCCCCCCCCCCCCCCCCCCCCGCCCCCCCCCCACCGCGCCCCCTCCCCCGCCCCCCCCCCGCCCCCCCCCCCCCGCGCGCGCGCCTCCTCTTCCCTCGGCTGGGAAGTGCCCCTTCCTTTTTTGTACAAGTGGAGCCCATCCACGAAGCAGAAGTGCCCGAGTAGGGAAGCTTGGAAGTTCGCGCGATGCCCCTGCGGCGCTTGGGACAGGGAGAGGTGGCCGGGCTGGGCAGGTCGCGCCTCTCCCCGCTGGCTTCCGCCCGCTTCTCCCAACCTCTTTAAGCCGATCCGCAGGAAAAGCTTGAGCGGTAAAGCGAGCGCTCCTTTCCCCATCTGGGATCGGAGCGCTCCGAGACGCCGCTCCGAGATTTGGCCAGCGATCAGTTTGCCAGGAAGGGGCAAGAGAAGCAACGGCCGAGCGGACTCGCTCCCACTTCCAGCTTCCCACCGCCGACCGACCGACCGCTTCCCCGGCTCGCCGCTTCCAGGTGCTGCTCAGTCTCCGGACAGACCGAGCCGCCGGCGCGCCGCCCAGCCCTGCCCGCGGCCGCTTTGACATGCTGCCCAAAGTGGAGACGGAAGCCCTGGGACTGATCCGATCGAATGGGGAACGGGGGCACATGCCGGAAAACATGCAAGGTAAGAGAGGGGCGAGCGGACCGGCGGGCGCCGGGACGGCCAGCTGACAGGCGAGAGAGCTTGGATGTGCCTCTAGCCAAAAGGCGGGCGAGGACAAGCCAAGCCAAGCGCAACCTCCTCTTTCTCCTGCAAGGCCGAGTAGGGCTCGCTATCTCGCCGCAAGCGGCTTCTGGGACCGACGCTTGAGCGCGTCGCTAAAGACTGCCCTGCTTTGCAGGCGTTTCGGGTTGCGATCGTCGGCTCTCGGCTCGGGGGGAAGCCCTCGCCCCCACGTGGGATTCGCTTCGCTCTCGGTTGCCTTGATCGCAGCGTCCTATTGGTGGGGGTGTGGGGGGGCGGCTGCTGTCAAAGCCGCCCGCTACTCAACTCCGAGCTCCCCTTTTAAGTACTGCAAAGTAAATGAAAGTACAAAATGCCCCCCGAAAAGTCAGGCTGAGGGACTGACTTTTCAAGTCGGACGAGCCGACGGTCCAGCGGCCGCCGGAGGCGCACTTGGAAAGAAGTTCCTCCCTGCAATCGCCTGGGGTCTTCTCCCCTGGGAGGTAGGGCGGGGGAGGAAGGAACCGGAGGCGGCGGCGGCCCCAAGAAAAGGACTCGGCAACCGGCTTTCTTGTAAGGAAGGCTGAGAAGCGATCCGAGCGGTGGGCATCTTTGGGCGGGGGCGACGAGAAACAAATGCGCGGGATCCAGGCGAGGCTGACTCCGAGGGTCGGCGTTCTTCAAGGAGCGCGGGGCGGAGGCTGCCGAACTGGCACACTTCAGACTAATTCGTGGGATTTGTTTTCCTACTTACGGGGGTGTTTAAATCGGGTTTTTGTGGGGGGGGGGGAGATTCCGCTTTCAAAACAAAATTAGAAGGGTCAGTCGTCCCAACAGCGTTGCGCTTCCAAACCATTCGCTTTAGTATGATTGATATGGGGAAAGGGGGGCGGCGGAAGGAAGAAAGATGGGGTGGGGAGGCAGACGAGGAAGCCTCTAAACGTTTATGGGGAAAATCTGCCTGTAAGGGCAGGCGTGTTTTTTGTTTTTTTTTAAATGGGAGTTTGACTGATTAAACTAGGGAACTTCCTCACCAGAAAGCTGGAAGGTGGGTGTGCGCGCACGCGTTTTCCGAGACAATGTCTGAATGCTGCTAACTTACCGCGTCCCCTAAAGCATCAAAAGGTAGAAGGCTTAATTAAGCCTTAGCAAACTTCGGCTTCTGGGCCAGGCGAAGGAGGATGGGCTCTCAGCGTTCTTTAGCGGATCAGAAGGGATGGATACCCCTTACCAGGATCAGACGAGGCGAGGATGCCGAAGGAGGAGGAAATCACAAAAAGAACTCTAAACTTGGGAAGGATGGGCAAAGAGACGTCAAGTTTGGGAGGGATCGAGTTGATCCCGCGCCGTCTTTCGCCGATCCCAACGACCACTTGGGGGGAGAGGGAGCAAGCAGGGAACGAAAGGGCGGAAAAAAACACAGCGCGGAGTTTTCCCAAGTTTCTTTCCTCCAGAGCAAAACTCCCCCTAGCAGATGGCAGGGGACGGACCTGGAGTGCAATGATGCAGGCTCTTAACGCCTTTCCGTCTTCTCCCGTCCCCCACCCCCGCGACTTGGGATTTGAGCCTATTGATGTGCTTGAAGCCACATTTACTTTCCGCTGGGACCGCGGGACTTAGGTAGCTATCCCGGGGGGGGGGGGGGGCAGATCCTGAACGCGGGGAATCCAAAACCTTGGGGAGGCTGGATTGGCTTCTGCGTTGAATACCTGTAAGGAATCATTAAGTACTGTAAAGGCTTTAAGAGACTTCGCTTCTTTCAGAAAGCGCGGGGGATTTGCAACCGCCTCTGGGAAACTTTACAAAAGGCAGGGCAGAAAGAATTGCTAAGGTGCTTTTTGCTGCAGCTGGGCCGGGGAGAAAGAAAGTAGGGACGGCGGGAACGGGGTGGGGGATGGGGGACTTGCTTGAGCCTAATTGCTACGGGAAATCCAGCAGCGCCTGTGTTCACTCTGGGAGCCGGCAATCTCTTCAGGCACACCGCCCACTTCATCTCCCTCAGGTTGCCTCAATGAAAACGCAAAGGGCGAGTTTGAGATACATTTTAACACCCTCCCCAGTTCTTATCGAGGATGGCTGGTCAATTAAAATGTAGGCGACTTGGGGCAGGGCCTCCCCCTGCCCCAAGGCGCCTACATTTTAATTGATCAGCCGGAGGGAGGGAAAAATCTCGTGACTGGGTCGCTACTTAGGAAGGCTCTTGGGGCAAAACCCAATAGTGTCAACTCTGAATTCAGGATGGGAGCTTCGTTCCGTTGTTTTCAATCGTGTTTCCCCCGAACTTGAACCCGAAGACAGGTCAGGCTTAAACTCTTAGTTGTATTTATTTAATCCGAGAAGGGGCAACAACAACAACAACAACAACAACAAACCCTCTGGAAGTCCCTCGATAAAAGAATCGGCGTGTTTTTGAAGGCTCTGGGCGACATGGCGCGTAGCTCCTCAAAACATCGCGCCATCTGGAAGGGCTTGGCCAAGTAATTCGCGGAAGCCTCTGAATGGCATGAAAGTCGCACAAGTTTCAAATCGGATGGAGGGGGAAGCTCCCATTATGCAAAGCGAAGGCTGACTAGAGGGATCAGAGTAGGGCGGAAAACCGTGATCACCATTTATGAGCCGGGAGTAGTGAAATGGGGTTAAAACCAACCAACCAGCCCTTCAAGTCTCAAAATAACTTGGTGCCACGGCTGTTGACTGGGGGAGGAGGAGGGAAACAGATAATGTGATTTGCTGCTGAGGAAGATAACACAGTGGCTGTATTCTCCCTCCCCCCCCCCCCAATTAAGCGCTTAAAGCTGAGGTAGAGATTTAGTCAGTGCATGCATCCGCAGAACGCACCAAATTTGGTGTTCAGTCTGGTTGATTAAGCTTTTTTGGGAGGGGGTCCATAAGTACTAACTAACCCTTTAGGTTAGTTTCTGCTTCAAGGGTTTACGCCGACCCAGAACACGAGTTAATTCAGAAATATGGTGAAGCGGGTGCCTTGTGTAAATGAAGCCATGTCCTGACATGCCCGTTCCTGAGCATCTCTATCACCTTATGAAACACAGTTGTCCGATCCCGGAGTGACTGTGTGTAAGGAGATGTCAGCAGAAATTGTTTTGATTTCGGCATTAAGAAGGACGCGGGGCAGGTCGGGTCAGCGTGGGTGGCAGTGAAGGGGCGGGTCAGTTGTTTTATTCCTGCGAAAGTCTGACCGAAAACACAATAAGGCAATGATCAATCCTGGCCTCGGTCTCCAATAAGGGCTTAGGTCGTCTTCTAGAGGCATCCAACCAGCCTGGTGCGGGTCCATTTCGACGAAGGCTGGAGGATGCCAGAAGAAGCTCTAAGAGATTCGCAGGTAAACGAGCTAAAGCTATAATACTGCCTCCTCTTATTTCATCTACGGCAAGCCTTACGCGGGAGGTCCTGCTCAGTTCCCCGGGGCCGTTGACAGTTGAAGTTCTGCCTTGACGGCTCTGCCGGGAAAGCTCCAGTCGGCTAAAAGCTTCTTCCTGCCCATCAGCTCAGAATGGCCTTACAGGAATGGAGCAAACAGAATCGGAGGCGCCCATCCCGGACGGAGTGGCGAAACCCTTGGCGGTTCCTTCGCCGCTTCTGCCCAGATCCGTCCGTCCATCCCTCGATTCAGCCTTTTATATCCCGTTTCGGGAACTCCAAGAAGAAGAAGGCGCGGGGCTGTCCTCGGGGGATTTCCGTGCGCGCACAATGGCAAACCGGGGTGGGGTGGGGGCAGGTGGGCAGTTTTTAAGACGTCGAAAACGTGCTTCTTAAGGCGGTTTTCCCTCCCCTTCGTGGCTTCTCCTCAAACGAAGCGATTTGGCGACGGCGGGACGACGCGGCTTTCGGTTCTTTTGAGGGGCTTCCGTCCTTTATTCCCTCGAGTTGAAGTCCCTCGGGGAACCGGCCTCTGAAAGAAGCGGGATCCAAAATTACCTCAGTTCCCGTTACAAACCGGCCAAAATTCAGTGTGTGAGAAAGAGTTTCAAACCTAAATAGCCCCGAAACCAAAACTGGGCCGTTGCTACCCATCCAACCGCATTGTTTTTTACTTCTCCCTGCTTAAGTAACATTTGGGGTACCGAACAATTTGGGATTGAGTGCTGCATTTGTTCTTTCCTTCGTCTAAAAGAGAGAAGAAAAAAAGACAGACTTCGAAAGACTCCCGGGTATTAATGGAAGATCCCGGGACCTCACGGCACCTTCCTACGTCCTACCTAAAATTCCCGCCCAAAAGTCCACTGCCCAGTCAAGCGCTTCCAACAGTAGGCAGGTGAGGTCAACGGTCGGCCTGCGGTGTGCCTTAAAAGTCCTTAAAAGGGCTTTTGGAGGGAACGATTCCATAGATTTCCCCGCTTCTCCCCGTTTCTTCGCACCTTTGAAATTACGCCTCGCGTTCCCAATTCTCGATGCTTCAGCGGAGGGGGGACGAGGGATCCGGATTCAGGTTGTAGCTTCTTCTCTCCCTGGCCAAAAGTCTTCTCTGAAGTTCCCTCCCCCCCCACACACACACACTACACGCAACACACACACTCATCTCTCTCTTTCCTCTTCCATTTTGTACCCCTCGGTTTGGGGACGCTTCGCTAGTCTTTTTTCCTTCTCCTTCTTCTCCGAAGTTCCCTTTCGGCTGGTTCTGAGAAAGTTTTGACTTTGCCTTTGGCTTGAATGGAAGCTCCCACCCAATGGGGAAGACATAGGTCATTTCTCTCCCCTCTTCTCCCTCCCTCCCTCCCTCCCATCCATCCCCTACCCCCATCCCTTCCCCATAAACATTTGCGACCATTCTTTCCTGGGATTCTGGTCACCTGGGGGAAAGGATCGCTTCCTCAATGGAGCAAATCGGTGGAAAACGAAGTGGAGTTGTAGGTAGGGGAAGAAACGGTAGGTCGGCAGCTTGGCAAAGTTTCTTCGGGGTGGGGTGAAGAAGATCCTACTCTGCCTTGCCTGGCCCCAATTACTTACCTTGACTACATCTGGCCTCCCTTGAATCTGGCTCGCTACTCCGATTCGGGCCCAGCGTACCTTTGTCTCTGCCTTAGGCCACCAGAAGAAGGCTCGTCTGAATTCCCGCAGGCTCTTCTTCTCTTAAAGAGATCAGCCCACTACTTTCCCCCTTAGAATAGTCCGGGAGGGCGACGGGAAGCGAGGGAGTGGGGAACTCAAACTAGCAAATCTTCCCGGTTCTCCCAACCCACTCCCCACCCCTCCTGTTGAACCGGTGGGACACTGATTCCCTCGCTCCCCCCGACAGGAATCGGATTCTTTCAGGAAGACCTCGCTCCTTAAATCAATTGGTCTTTCCATCTCATTGAATTAATTCTTAGGATTGCACCAAGAGTTTTCTCTCTGCTCTCTCAAGTAAAAAATCTGTGTTCCCCACAAGGAAGGAAGGAAGGAAGGAAAGAAGGAAGGAAGGAAAGAAGGAAGGAAGGATTACCGTAAAACTTTCTTCTTTGTTTTTAGTTACCAGCATTTGAAGAAGTTTGCAAGAGAAATCCAAAGTGTCTCTGTAAATCCTTGAACAGTTTATGCATTTTCTCTGGTCGATTGAGACAGTAGAGGAAAAGAGTTAAGGCAGAAGAATGTTTCTTTGTAAAGACAAGTTTGATGGATATGTAAAAATTACAGTTCCTTCTTTCCTTCATCTCGCTTGCTAAAATACTGTTTTAAGCCTGTTGATTTTTGCCCCCACTCAGACTAGTAGTTTTGTGAATTTGAAATAGGGGTTAGGTAAACATTTTTAAAGTGACTTGTGTATAGCAGAACTTTCAAAGTACAGAAAAAAGTTACTTTTCCACTTAGTCATCTGATTTTTAATTTTTAAATGCAATTATATTTTAAATATAGTACAAATAAATGGTGATCTTTATCCCAAGAACAATAAACTGAAGAAAAGTAAGACTGCAGCCTCAGGCATGTAAACTTCAGAGTAGGATGTCTTGAACTAGTCCTGCCTAATTATGTGTAAAGCACATATAGGAGTGAACTAAGAATTTAATATTTTTGGAAAACCAGTTTTGGGGATTAGTAAAATAAAATGTTTGCTGGGTTTAGAACTGTGGGTAGTTTTAACAGGTTTTATTCTGCTAAATTGAATTTGGAGGGAATGTTGCTAAAACAATCTGTTGTTTCAAAATGGTGTTTGCCTGTTTTGAGGATTTATAGGGAAATAAAAACCCATGGATGTCCTGGAATTGTTTCCCCGGTGAAGAAATAAATAATGCATCAAATGTTTTGTATTCATTCTCATAGGGTTTAATTCCTCCCCCTATTTTTTCTTCTTTTCCCCCCACCCTCCCAGTGTCTCAGTTTAAAATGGTGAATTACTCTTATGATGAAGATCTTGAAGAACTCTGTCCGGTCTGTGGAGATAAAGTGTCTGGGTATCACTATGGACTCCTTACCTGTGAAAGTTGCAAGGTTTTGTACAATTTATTTTCATGGGAAAAATAGGGGAGGGAGCTGAAAATCAGACCGAGGGAAAAAGGCTGGACAACCATACTTCTGTTATTTTTAATGGGGGAAAAAAAAGAATATTGTGAAGGAGTGCAGTAGCATTCTCTGAAGGCAGAAGTTATGCAAAGAGTAAAAAGGGTGTCTTTTTTAGCCAATGGAAAGAAAAATCTGCCCACAGTGTTCTGTATAGAGTGGCTATATTTACTGCCTTTAAATATTTGGATGTCGTGAAGTGATGTAGTTGTAGAGAGACTTTCATTCCCAGCTGTCCTCAATATTGATTTTAGTTGATTTATATACATTGAGTATTATTGTTGCTGCATCTTGTTCCTGATAAATTTCAGGGCTACAGTATTGAAGGCAACTGTTTCAAGTTTTTCATCTTTCGGGATGCAAATGTAAATTTCTCTTGACATTCTTTTTATGCTTGCAGATACTTACTTATAAATGTGCAAACACACTCGTACATACACAGCATTTTATGTACATATTTATCTGCAAGGTGATTAAGGGGGAATCAATTAAATGGTTTTAAAATGCCATTCATCACTATGAAGATTTTTTTTTTTTGCTTATGCATTTCATTTATGCATATCAGCTGGAGTCTCAAAATTATAGGCCAGTGCCATGCACCCAACTAATAAAACCTTAGATTGCTTTGAACCTTGCCTGATATTTGGACTGAATTGCAATTTTATAAAATAATTCTGGATCAATATAGAAACTGAGCAAATTGTTTACTTCATAGTACTACAGCAACATCATTTTAACACAACTTTCTGGAGTAACACATATATTATTTTAGGACTCTACAGAAATATTTCCGTAGTCGGAACCTGTATCTGCTAAAGTTACATGAGTCACATTTGGTTAAGGGAACTTTTGAACAAGTCAATATTCATGTTGAATCAAAAGTTAATCACATTATAATACAACCGCCATGTAATTATATTTATCATCCACTATTCCCAGAGAAACGACAACCAGAATATCTGTTATTTAGTACATGATTTTAATCATCATGGCCACCAGAAGTAATTTAGGCAGCTGTACTTAGTATTGGGGGTAGGGGGAAGAAAGATATAGTCTTGCAAGTAACTTCTTTAAAATCCCAAAGAGTTCAAAATTCATTTGAAAATTGAGAATCTCTATAGGCAGCTTAAAATTCCATTTTAAATATTGGAGAATTAAGGTGATGGGAGTAATGATGGGTGATAAAGTGAAGAATAGTATACTAGCAGAGGCAGGAGTAACCAGAGTAACAAGTGGTAGATTAGGGAAACTTACTTTCATTTGGGATTTAGAACTGAGTTAGGGTTCATATTAGTAAAATCGAAAAAAAAAATTGTACATCTTCTCTTAAAATTGGGTATAGGTAATTTTAAAAGGCCACTTTAAAAAATCTGGATAATTTGAAAGAATTTTCATTCATTCAAGTTGCTACTGGTACATGATAACTAGGGAAACAATAAAGATGCCTTGCCAGGATCTGATGTAAATCAACACCAGCGCAGACTAGCCTCAGAAAAATTGTGCCTGTGGCCTAGTGGGTTTCCTCCAAGGAAATCTGGAACCAAACCAGCCATTTTATAAATGCTGAATTAGCCAGGATGACAGCAGGGAAGAGGGGATTTGGTGAAAGTTTTTATAATCTGAAGTCAATTCCTGGTTCAAGCCATTTGTGCCAAATGTGTAAATAAGTTCTATGTATTTTACAGGGCTTCTTTAAGCGAACAGTCCAGAACAACAAAAGGTACACATGTATAGAAAATCAAAGCTGCCAAATTGACAAAACTCAGAGAAAACGCTGTCCTTATTGTCGGTTTCAAAAATGTCTAAGTGTTGGGATGAAGTTGGAAGGTAAGGTCTACAATTGTTGCTGCATAAGTATATAAAAAATAATTACATATTAAATAAAAGTCCTTCTTATGTGCATTATTTAAAGTGCTGTCATTTGAGATGTTATTTCAAAGAATGATTGCTTATGGCGGACCCAAAACAATGGAAACTTATGATTTACTATTACAACTTTATCTCAAAGAACTTCGAAGGCTCCCTTGTCCAATTTGCTGCTATGGTACTTAGAGGCTCATTTGAGATGTAAACATTAGAACATGCAGGGTCAATATGTATAATTGTACAATTTTTGTATTTCCAAAACAGTGCATACTATCCAGAATTAATCATAAATACTTAGAACAAATAACACTGATTTATTTATCAAACAAAACTCAACCAGAAGAGGCAAAATAAATAATTGAGGGAAAATTTGATACTGTAATGATTTCTAAAATGAAATCATTTCAGGTGAATCCAAGAGTTATAAATACAATACAGAATATCGGACATTTTTCCCCTCTCAGGGACAATAGATCATTCTTGTTTATCAGTGGAATTCCTTGTATGCAGGGATTATGCAGCTTGGCTCATTGACTAAACAATTATTTAGCATTTCATAGAAAGAGATCTTGGTTTTCTTTTTTTAAAAAAACCCTCATTACTCATCCAATAGAAATAGTTTTCAGTTTTTACAAAACTATTCAGGTATGTTATAATGCTCCATTGATAAAATATGAGCTACATCTTGTCACAATTGTATTCAGCCTAAATTACTGTTACAGAGTCTGAAACAAGGAAACAAAAGTTGGCTTGAAAAATATATATTATAACAATGAATCTTGCTGTCAAAAAGTTTTGAAACCTTTCTGATAAATATTTACCTAATGTAGATTATTAGTAGTATTTTTTAACAGTGAATTTTGATGGAATTCACATTTGTCATTTTTTATAAGTACAAATTCAGCAGTCTGTTAGGTTAAAATTAAATCATTGCTAGTTTGAAAGTAATGTTGTTATTTTCATTGGTTTGTACAAATTCAAATATCATTGATGGGAGAGAAAATTCTCATGCCAAATATTTGTACTTATATATATATGACTCCAGTTATAGGGACTGGCTTATTCTTTATTTCTTCTCCTCACTGATATTTAATAGTCCAGTTAAAAATGCAATATTGAGGAAATCCCAGTGATAATAATTGATCTTATGTCTAACATTTAGTACTGTGCAGTTTATTGGTTTTCATTTTTATATATTTTCGAAGATGTGAAACTATAATTGAATTATTAATAATTTCAATCGTTAGTCAACAAATGGGTAACTTAAATTTTACTGGTAGGGATTTGACTATTTTTTTAAGTTGCTTAAATTCTGAGATGATGCAAAATATTTGTTGTCTGAAAAAGGAGCTAATGATTATTATTTAATTTTAAACATTCTTACGGTTTAGTTGTATTTCAAAAAGTCACTAGCATTGGTTCAGTTCATAAATTCTCAAGCTAAAGACTGCAAATCAGCTAATTTTCTTATTAGAAGTTCACTATTTTCTTATAGACAGATGTAGAACTTGTGAGCAGTTTAGCCCACAGAGATTGTGATCCATAAACTTCTCATTCCAGAATAATTTAATTATGCCAATTAAACCTAACTTTGGAGCTGTTCAGACCCCTTGAACTACAGCAATCTAGATTGAAATCAACAGATAGTATCAGGGAGCAGATAAAAGTCATTGCATCAAATGTATGTTTTGAAATCTGCATTTCCCCAAATAACAATAATACAATACATGGAGATTAGGTAGGAAGTAGGAAAGAATTCCCAAGTGATTCTATACTTTGTACTCCTCTTTTGTAAATACACCTTACAAAGTCAGTCTCTCACACACAAATGCACCAAAAGACAAGTTTGCTTCTTGTTTAGGAGCAAAAAATATTTAGAAGCTTTGGAAGGGGAGCAAGACTTATTTGCAAATTCTTTTCAAAAGTGCTTTCATTGTCTATATCGGCATTACCTAGAAATGTTTTGATACTTTGTAACTCTGTCTTATCCAGAGAAGCTATGATGTCTACTACTGGCTTAATCGTTTCTCCATTTAAAAAGATCAATAAGGAACACAAGAGTGTGACAGAAGGATGTACAGATTATATCACCAAAAGCATGAATATTGTGGAACAAAGTTAGGAACATTAGGAGGCTGCATGTGCAGTCTTCTGTGCTCTCTGAGCTTGGTTATATCCTTGCAAATATTTCATTACCAAAGATAAGAAGTGAAATGTCTTCAAGATAAAACAAAGTCCAGTTGCCTTTTGAAAAACCATGACCTGGATTATTGAGCATCTCCATAAACATCTTCAGTGACAGTCATTAGCACTGATGATATTATCTACTTTGGGTAATGAGATGTCTGCAAGAAAACAGCCAAGCTCAGAGAGCACCAAGAACCCCTGAGTTCAACCCTGAGCTGCAAATATTCTCCTTTATTCTTCTGTAAATACACTGAAAAATCCCATTTATCATTTACATATAGCCCTAATCTTTCAGAAATTGTTCAATGAGGTATACAGAGGTGAAACATACCAAATGTTCCACAGAGATCTTTAATGCTTTAATTAAAAAAAAGAGGTCCATGTATCTTGTTTGAATGTGCTACATGCCTCTTATATGTTGGAAAAATCCATAATCAGAGGAGGCTGAATTCACCTCTCCTTTTAAAAAAAATAGCAATCAAAAATTAATGCCGGAATGTGGCATTGTTGAGTAGAGTAGATAAAGCTATTTAACTATAATTTGTTAGGCATTTCTACTTACCTTTTCTTTGCCAGCAGAAAAATAAGAGTGGGTGTGTTTCTGACCGATATTTGTTTTCTTATTTATTTATTTATTAAAAATTACTTAGCAATATTCTCCCATACGAGCAGACTTCCCCTTTGTTATCAGCAGAATGGGAAGGAACTCCTGCTTTCAGCTATAAATGTTTTTAATATTTATATGCATGTTTCCTTGATTATGATACATGCTCTTGCATTCTAGTTCATAAATTACATTTTGAGTTCAAATCATTAATTGTTAACATCTTATGATAGTTTTATAGGTCTCTGTATACCTAGGATTTCTAATACATTTTTAATGGCATGCTAATCTATAAGATAAAAGCTTAGTAACGTAACCTCCAGCTATCTCAGCATGTCACCAAGCTGTCAAAGGCCCTTCTTATTGTCTGAATACCTTTGGGAAGGATAGTCTTGGTAAAATATTGCTGCTTACAAGACATGTTCTATCAACATAGTACTGTAACCCAGACCAACAATTTTTCTCCACAACCCTAATTCTGGTAAGATTTGAATGGCATTAGAAGTTGCAAAATCCTTTTATTTTTGATCTGGGTGACACTTTGTTCTTTATAATAGGCAGTCAACTTTAGGAAATAACAATAGTGCAATTTATTACCTTTCTCCAAAATTGGAGAGCTTCCTCTTTTCAGAGTAAGGGCCAATGGGAAGAGCATTGCGTGCCTTTAAATAACATCTACTCAAAGGGTTAAGTCAAAAGAGTATAAACATTGGAAAAAATAAATGATAAGCATTTTGAAAAGCTGTTATTAAACGGTCTTGCATTACTCCCAAATGCAATTTTGAGTCCTTTGTACTTAGCAGAAGAATGTATTAGCCCTCTCCTGTTATATTTACTAGAAAATTTAATACACTAAGCTTGAATTATGCTTTTTTAGATTACTCACCAGTATGCTTTCACACAGCGATGTAACAAGAAAGTAGTAAATGCTTAAAAATTAATACAATATGTTTATTCACAATGTTAGACCTTCTCAGGTGGTTCATAAAAAGTGACATAATAAATAGCAATAACAATAGCACTTAGATTAACATGCCACTTCGTAATGCCTTACAGCACTCTCTGAGTGGTTTACAGAGGCAGCATATTGTGCCAACAGTCTAGGTCCTCATTTTACCAACCTTGGAAGGATGGAAGGCTGAGTCAACCTTGAGCTGATCAAGATTGAACTCCTGGCAGTAGGCAGGAGTACTGTATTTTAAACATTGCGCCACCACAAAACACTACAATAAAATAAAAGCCCTTAAAACAGCTATACTTGAAATAAACTTGTGCTACAGGTTGATCAAGGACTAAAAATGATGAGATTCTTATCAGTATTTGTATTCGTATCAAGTCTACAATGTGATACCTATAACTTTTTTTTCATCGTACATTCAACAGCCGTGAGAGCTGACCGAATGCGTGGAGGTCGGAACAAATTTGGACCCATGTACAAGAGGGACAGGGCACTGAAGCAGCAGAAAAAAGCTCTCATCCGAGCAAATGGACTCAAATTAGAAGCCATGACTCAGGTGATTCAAGCAATGCCCACTGATCTCACAATATCTTCTGCAATCCAGAACATCCATTCTGCCTCCAAGGGCCTACCTCTGAACCATACAGCCTTGCCTCCCACAGACTATGACCGAAGTCCTTTTGTAACCTCTCCAATTAGCATGACAATGCCGCCACATGGTAGCCTACAAGGTTATCAGAGCTACAGTCACTTTCCAAGCCGTGCTATCAAGTCTGAGTACCCTGATCCTTATACTAGCTCTCCAGAGTCAATAATGGGCTACTCTTACATGGATGGTTACCATCAGACCAACTCACCAGCAAGTATTCCTCATCTGATTTTGGAACTCTTGAAGTGTGAGCCAGATGAGCCGCAAGTCCAAGCTAAGATTATGGCCTACTTGCAACAAGAGCAGGCCAACAGAAGCAAGCATGAAAAGCTCAACACTTTTGGGCTTATGTGCAAAATGGCTGACCAAACCCTCTTCTCAATTGTGGAATGGGCTAGGAGTAGCATATTCTTCAGAGAACTTAAGGTATGTCATGCAATTCTTTCATGGGATGTGGTCACTCTGAGAGTGAGGTGGGTGGTACCTAAATTGGACAAATAAATGAACAAACAAAACAAGAGTTTTGGTATAAGAAAATGTGGTTAGCATTTGATTAATACAGCTTATATTTGTGTATTGTTCTTTGAGGAAAAAGCTGTTAAGAGAGACATTTCAAAATATTATGACTAGTTTGAGCTCACTAATTATCTGTGGAAAAGCTGAATTGGATGTTTAAGTCAAGATTTTTTTTCTAAAGCTAAGAAATCTTGTGGGGGAGGGGATTCTGAGATCTTGCCTGGCTAACTTAGTTATGATTATAGGCTACTGTTGAATAACAGCATTAGTAGATATAGACCAGAACAGTTGCAGCAGTGAATTCAAAAAGCCATCCCTTTGTTGCCCTATTGCCCATTGGCTTGTTTCTTGGAAGATAGAAAAAGAGAGTTATTGACAGAGAAACAGACAAAAAAGACCCTTCTAAAATATTTTGGAAGCAACATTGGGAGAAAAATATGTATAGGTCCTAGTGTACGACTCCGGAAAGAAAGGATTAAAAATATGAACTAGAATGAAAAACGTATGGTCTCCAGATGTTGCTAGAGCTTCACTGGCCAACCCGACTTGGGCTTCCAGAAGTTGGAGTCCAGAATATTCAGAGACTTTCCAGGTTCCCACTCCTATTAATCAATCCTTTAAGCTATTGTCAATGAGTCATAAAACCAGGGGGGAAATGGGTTTTCCATGAACATTCAACTATACTGCAAAATAGACTACATGCACATGTTACATAAAGTAACAAATGTCTAACACTAAGCCTAGTTCTGTGATCAGATGTATTATGAAATAAGAGTTATTCTTCTACTTGCAGTATTCTTCTACTTACAGTGAGATTCACTGAGCAGGACACTCTAGAAAAAAAAAAGAATTGTTAGGAGAATAGTAATAGTTCTATTACTGAAAATTATATTGTACTTTGAGGGATCCAGATGTGCAATATTATATATGTGTTTGATATATAAACACATCCTGTTAGCTTGTAGCAACTCCAGAGTCTTTTAAGAAATGGTGCAAAAACAGGTGTCTGGACTGATTGCTGAAGCCCAACAAAAATCCATATTCTGGAGTAGCAGTCTAATGAATGGTGAGTGAAGAGAAGAATCAGAACAAAATCATTACTGGGTTTGACCAGTAGAAGAAAGAATGTAGGATGAGACGATGGGTTGTTTTAAAGAAGATAGCTGTAGGGAAATGGGAAAACAGGATTGCAATCCATTGATGATGGGGCAAAGGACAATGGGATTAGGAGTAGGAAAATGTTTTTATTCGTGGAAAATGGTGCTGTGGTTAAATTCAGAGATTTACTTTTGTAGCATCATCTTTAGTACACTGTTGCCTATTGACAAGAGGCTAACTTTCATTTTTTCCTAAAATTTATAACGTTCTCTGTCCCAAGAGTTTATGTGTCACATTTTGTTTGCATATTTATTTTATTTACTATATTTATTTTTGCTACCTCAAAAGAGCTTAACAAGATTTTCTATATGTGTATATACTGTATATATAATGTGCAGTTGAATAATTCGAATGGAAGCATATGGGAAAATAAAGCAAGATGTTAAAAACCAGGTTAAACTGAAAACTTAAAATACTACATTAAAGCTGTGGAAAATATAAAGGCCCAGCATTGCAAAGAGATTTTTTGGAAATAGTATTTTGTAACTGAGATTGCCACTACAGAAGATCCTCTCCATTTGCCTGGAGTATAGGATAATTATTGACATGCATATTCCTTTGGCAGAAAAGACACAGTGTAGAAGCAGATTACAATTAGAATATCCAATGCACATAATTTACCCATTCAATTTTGATTTAGCTAATTTTTTAAAAACTATTTTTGAGAAAACCTTCCCAAAACATTTGTAGTCATCTAACCCAGAAATTCCTAATGTATGTTTACCAAAACTATAGGGCCTATCTGTGTCACATCCTTTTGGAATATATCTCTGAAGTTTTGCATAATCAGAAGTCCCTGTATGATAATAAATTAACACATTAGGAAGTACAGCTATATTTTTTCCTCTTATTAGCCTTCTATGCACTTGGAAAGTTTGCAGATAATCTTTAAATTTTATATGAAGGAATGTTAGAGTTGATTAAAGTTATAGACACAATTCGTGAAGAAATATTCAAGAGGTAGGGTCCAAATATTGATGGAAAATAGCAAGGATGGAGTATTCAATTTTTTCTATATACATTGGATAGAAACCATAATGTCACATGCATTCATTGTGACTTCATCAAACAAATAATGCAGATGATTTAATTTGCATCAATTGCATCAAGATGTGAATGAAGTACAGTACTCAGTGCTGACATGCATTATGTTAATCCTCTCAAACACCATAGGTGTCTTCACAGGAGCAAGTACCTAAGTGTGCAGTACAAGGTTGAGAGAGAAACTCTGCCCCATATGTACCAATATGTGACACCTTGACATAAGTATGGAAAAGGCAGGTCTTGCATGGTGACATTGCAATACATGTTTCATCATCGGGCTTAGGAACAAGACCCTGTGAGCATGTCTTTACCTTTAATTTGGAAATGGGCATAGAAGATATCCTGAACCCAAATTTTCCAAGTGGGAACATTTTTTTAGAGAATGCTCCCTTGTTCATTTTTTATTCCCAGTCATTAATTAAATTCAAAGCAGCACATACATGATCTAGAGAGAGATCACTGGCCAAATTTGCTTAGTTGCAGCATGATTATGTACTCCCAAACCACATCTTGAGGACATTCCTAAATCTCACACCTTTCTGTGCTATTATTTTCCACTGGTTTCCCCATCTATTTATGTTAACCAACGTAATAAATTTTGTAAGAGGTTTTTCTTGAAACACCATCTTCTTTTATGGAAATGTTAAATGCCATGGAAAATTTTGACGCTGCTGTTCCAAGATAGACCTTCAGTTTCCTTCCTTAATTTTAGGAAAGCTACTTTTTTTAGATTAATGAGCAGATTTGGAATATTTAGGGCCCAACAATAATTAATTGTCATGGAAATAATTTTCATATTCACAAAATGACTTCTACAGTGGGTATGGCCAGTCAAAAAACATCCCTTTATGAGGAGATTGTGCATCCCTGCTTTTTAATTAAATCAATCTTTTAAAAATATTAAAATCTGGAAGGTGCTTTGGGGTGTGTGTGTAACTATAATGGTGTCCCTGAATACCACACTGTATATCCCACCTTAACTAATGAGGAGATAATGATAGCCATAGTACTGTGCAATCAGGCCTGAAGAGGCAGAGAGGGATTTCACAAGTTTTTCCTTTAATTGGTAATGACAATAACAAGATTCAGGCACTTTTTAAATTACAGGTAGTCCTCAACTTACGATCACAATTGAGCCAAAAATTTATGTTGCTAAGTGAGAAATTTGTTAAGAGTTTTTTCCCAGTTTGTGACTTTTCTCACCAGATTTGTTAAGCGAACTACTGCAGTTCTTAAATTAGTGACACGGTTCTTAAGTGAATCTGGTTTCCCCACTGACATTGCTTATCAGAAAATGGCAAAAGGGTGACTCTGGGATGCCACAACCATCATAAATGTGTGTCAGTTGTCAAGTTTCTAAATGTAAATCATGTGACCATGGGATGCTGCAATGGTCAATAGTGTGAAAAATGGACCTAAGTTACTTTTTTCAATGCCACTGTAACTTTGGTCACTAAATGGAACTGTTGTAAGTCGACGGCTACCTGTACATAGCCATGTTCTCTTTGTATGAGCTGTCTGGGCCAATTATGGCCAAACTGTAAAGCGAGGAATCAATCTCTCTCCTCTATACACTATGAACAATAAAATAATAAATTCGGATTTGGTATTAAATAAAATCTGAATTAAATTTTCTAGAATATTTGTTTTGTATACCCTTGGACAGAACTTGACTAGCAAATGATTGAATTCTGGACAATGGTATAAGACAGTGGCTTCTTCTGGGAATTTTTTAATTTCTCAGTAGCCCAGGCAGTCACCCATCCAAGTATTGCTCAGGGTCTATCCTGCTTATTTTTAAGTTTAGTCATGGTCAGCTAGATGCTGCCAGAATATCTATTTACACATTTCTACCAATAGCATTTTTAAGACTAACAATACTTAGTCCTTGCTGAGGTGGTAGGGTTTTGTTGTTGTTGTTGTTTTAGCATTTTGTCCATATTAAATGGTTGCTGCCAGGGGACCGAAGAAAGTAGTAGCCCAATTCCTTCTGTCTTTTGAATTATTTTTACAAAAGACCAGCTTTGTAAGTTGGTAGAAGTACAAATTTTAGGTTTCTTTTAGGGGCAGCTTCAGCCATTATTGTTCCCCGAGGCAACCTGCAAATGGGATTCAGTGATAATAAATACATATTAACCTGTCTGCCAAAATGAGGTAGGTAGGACTTCTCATTCGGTTTAATAGCAGAATGATTATCCCTGTGGTGTATAGTCAGTAATCCTAACCTCAGAGTCACATTTATGATGTTGATTTGATTTATGCATCACACCAAGCTTGTATTTTTCCAGTATAAGGTAAAGTGTGAATGTAATCATGGGATATAGACTGCAGAACAGTACATTTATGATTCAACCAAGTTTCTAAGGACTTAGAGCAAGATTTACCAACTTTAAGAGAATAACAGATTTGGAAGGGATTTTGGATGTCTTCTAGTCCCATCCCTTGCTCAAACAGAAGATCTTATGCCATTTCAGACAAATGGTTGTCCAATCTCTTCTTAAAAACCTCCACAATTTCTGAAGGCAAGGCTTTTCATTGGTTAATTGTTCTAACTATCAGGAAATTTCTCTTTTGATCTAGGTTGCTTCTTTCCTTGATTAGTTTCCATCCATTGCTTCTTGTCCTGCCTTCAGGAGCTTTGGAGAATAGGTTGATCCCTTCTTTGTGGCAGCCCCACAGATATTGGAACACTGCTACCATATAACCCC